GCCACTGTACCAAGTCACAAGCATCATTTTCTTCAGGGCTACCAAACAGCAATATCAGTACCATTATTGTCTTACTTATGGTAATTAAAATCATTTTTTTCTAAACTTAGAGGAATTCTTCACTCCGCTGAAGTATAGCCTCTACCTACTTTTTCAGTCTGATTTCTTCTTATTCACCATCATTCACCCTATGCTTCAGTTAAAAAGGGTTAATAGCTATCCCTGGAATGTTTTCCCATTTCCATGCCTTCACCCAAGTGGGTTCCCATGCCTAGAATTTCCTCCCTCATAGCTTCAGCTGTCAAAGTTCTACCCATTCTTCGAGTAGCACTTCGGTCTCTGTTTTATCCAGGATGCTCTCTGATGTCCCTAATCGGACAGTATTTCTTAATCTTCACCCCTACGGCATTCTGAATCTTTCTTAGAGATTAATTTTACTCTCTTATATGTTATACTCATTATATTCAAGTACGTTCTAGCTTAGAGTATATCATACGTGCTCAACAAATATTTGTTACATGAATGAATAAATATGCTCCTTGAGAGAAAGGTACTAATTTTACTGCTCTTTGTGTCTCTTTGCTATCTCCCCTAGGTGAGACCTCTGCAAAGCCAGGCAACATCCCATCCACATGTACTCAGCACCTAGAACAACACATCATAGTGTACTGTCAACTCTCAACAAATGTTTGTGAAATCAACCAATTAACTAATTTGCCGTTGTTTTTTCAGTACTGAACACTCCTGATAGAACTGCACATTCTTAGAACTAGATACTGATACTTTTCACTTAATAAAAAAATTTTTAAATGATTATTCAGTAACTATTCCTTGAGTATGTCCTGCTTGCTAGGAAGTGGATATTATATACAGCAGTCAAAATAGCCATGATCCCTAATGGGCTCATAGATTAATGGGAGAGAAAACTATTAAAGAAACAAATGCATGGGCAAATATGAAATTAAAATTCTAATAAAGGCTAGGAAAGAAAGGAGAAAGGAAAGTATGGACAACTGGGTGGTGCTCATTAAGGGTGGAGATCAGGGAAGGCTTCTCAGAGGGTGTGATGTTAAAATCCAAGTGAAGGATGAACAAGAGGTAGAAAAATAAAAAGTGGGAGGTGGGTTGGGCATTTCAGGGAGAGAAGTAGCCTCAGGAAGAGCCTGGTGTACCTGGTCACAGTGGTGGTACAGGATCAATGAAGGGAAAATGGCTGCATGAGGCCAGAGAGCCTGGCTGGGGCCAGGTCAGCAGAGTCCCACCAACTCCAAGGAGGAGGCTGGATTCTTAGTGCAATAGGAAGCCGTGGCAGGGCAGACGAAGAATAAATGAATTGGCTGCTTCACTCTCCCAAGGGCACAGACCATCAAACGGTCTTTTATTTGGTTTCTAATGCAAATAAAAACCTACGTAGGTATAGAATCAAAAGAAGGAGTTAAACATTTGGGAAGGTTTTATACATTTTCCTGTTAACAGAGAATTTAAATATAAAAATATTTTATTATCTCAGAGAGGCAAGAGAGATTTATGCTCTCTGATTCAGAGATAAACTTTGTCGTGTAGCATGGGAAAAAATGACTAGGTAAGATCATTTCCCTTTATCACTTTTCAGAAGACAAGTCATAATGGAAATGACTCAAGATACCACAATTTGGAAGATGAGTGACTGTCTTTGCCATGGGAGCAGAGTGAGGGTTTGCCAAACATCAGCTGAAAGGAGAGAGGTGCTCTTGCTCTTAGTTACAGGCAGGCACTGTATGTGATGTGGCCCCATAAAAATCCTGGCAGATGATGTAGATTCCTGTCATCTTCCTTCCATAACTGTGAAGTCCAGGAGGCAGAGTACCCTTTCCTTGGCAGAAAGAAGTAAACTTTGGCATAAGATACATTTTGTGCCTACTACCTAACAGCAATGTTAAATAAAAATAAAATGCTATTGGAGCATTTCAATACATATCATAAAAACAGGCCAGGTGCGGTAGCTCATGCCTGTAATCCCAGTACTTTGGGAGGCCAAAGCGGGCAGATCACTGGAGTCCAGGAGTTTGAGACCAGCCTGAGCAACATGGTGAGACTCCCCATCTCTACTACAAATACAAAAATTAGCGGGGTGTAGTGTGCGTGCCTATAGTCTCAACTACTTGGGAAGCTGAGGTGAGGGAATCACCTGAGCCCAGGGAGCTACTGAGGCTGCCATGAACCATGATTCCACTACTGCACTCTAGCCTGGTTGACAGAGCGAGATCCTGTCTCAAAAACAACATAAAACAAAACCTAAGACTGAACAATATAAAGTAACACTAAGCATTTTATCCAGAAGCAAGAAAACCCAATCAAGAATTTGTATTTCTTCATCAGAATAGATAAACCATGAATACTCCACAGAACAAGACTGCCATTTATTTAATAGGTGGTAGGTTTTTAAATAGTAGACAGGTTATTTCTTCCTTTCTCCCCACCCACAGAGTTTTGGCCACTTCCAGACCATGTTCAGCTGACATTCTTTTCAAAGACCCAAAAACAGGTAATGCACTCTTAGTGGAAAGGTAGTGTTCCACCAGTTTTGGTAAATACTGATCTAGGCCTGAACTTTTGATTTCTGAATGAAAGAACAAGATGATTCATATATGCCTTAAGGAAAAAGTAAGTCTGGTGACCAGATCTGAATCAAAGTAAAAAGGCTTGAATTTAAAAAGTGAATCCTGTTTAAATTTTGGGCAAATCATCTAACATATCCTCTTTCCTTCTGTTATCTACGCTAAGGATACTATTTTTTTTCCAGATTAAGAAAAATTGACCTGCCAAAGCCAGAACTGGTAAATAATTACGAAACAGTTGTTTTAGAAATCACTTTGCCCTCCAAAAGGAGTCAGCTTTCCATGTATACTTAAAATCAGTCATAAAAATGGATTTAGCACTTAAGAAATAATTTTCAAACACACATCTAGTTTGTCAAATGAAGCCTCACTGTTCATTCATTCATTTATTCATTCATTCGGCAGATATTGATTGAGCCCTGTTATGGGCCAGACACTGATCTTGGCACTTTTGATACAGCAGTAAAGAGAAGAGTCTAATCTCCCTGTCCCAATGGTGCTTGCATTCCTGTGTTATGTCCACACAGCTGTGTAACTGACTCTGAAGGAAAATGAGCTTTTAAAATATAATAAAATCTCAGTTTTGCCAGATGAAAAATTCTAAAGATGTTACACTACAATGTAAATATAGCTAGTATTACTGAGCTATATACTCAAACATGGTTAAGAGAATAAATGATATGTGTTCATTTAACCACAAACTTTTTAAAATGAAAAAAATAAGCATAGCCAACATTTACTGAGTACTTACTATGTTAAGCAGAGCATCATCTCATTTAACCACAACAACCTTAGCAGGCAGGCACTATTATTATTGCTATTTTACAGACAGGTACACTGAGGCACAAAGAGATTAAACAATTTATCCAGGATCACAAATTCAAGGGATAAAGCTGAGATATAGCCCAAGTAATCTGATACCAGCAACTCGTCTCCTAACTCCATACAACAAATTTCAAAGATAATATTATTTTCAGTTGGAACTACAGTTAATAATACAAAAATAGTAATAATAATATAGTAAAAGGAATAATCACTGTCTTCATTGTTTTTTTAAAATCCTGATGATTTGTAACCCGACTTACTGTCTTTTGATGGTCATTTTTCCTAAAAACCTCAGTGTTGAACAAACTGCTTCAACCACTTCTCTGTAAGCCATAATATTCTTTTCCTTCAAATGGAAAAAAAGAAAAATCACACAGGATGGTTTCTTTTAGACAAGATCAAGCACGTTCAGGGTGGTATGGCCATAGACGAGGATGGTTTCTTTTAAAACAGACATTACTGAAACTGTAAATATTTTTAGCCCTTTGTACTTTTCATCCAGCAGCTTAACTGAGAATGCTATAGAAAAATTTAAAAATAGCCACTCGGTACTCTGAAAACCATTAAATAGTTTAGCACATACCCCAGCACCTGCTTGACACATCTTAATCAACACCCTTTTGCTAGTCATCTAAAAAAAAGAGAAAACCCTTTTGCTTTCAGAATTTTTTCCCTTAAAAAGCGTATGTGTCACCAGGGTATTTTGCCCTCTCTCTTCCTAACTTAGAGGTAACACCTGGAGTAAGTCATGGGTGACTAATGAAGATGCAACTTTCCCCTCAGCATGATATACCTCACAGGATGGGAGTAAAAGCTTCTAATAGGAGCATTTATTACAATTGTTAGGATTGTAATGGAAAGTTAATTTTGTTCTATAGTTTGTAGAAATGATTCAGGATGATATGAGAACACTGTCTATAAACCTGCACTGATAAAGGAAGATGACAGTGGTGACACAGGGTATACTTTCTGAGTTGTTTTTCCAGGGGTGGGAAAGTTCAATCCACAGATTTCAAGACAGAAAGAAGAAAGGAAAGGAGAAGGAAGGAAGAAAGAAAACAAAATATTTTTTAGAATTGACTATGTTCAAATACACTGTGCTTATTAGCATCAAACTTTCAACCACGGTCTGAGCAGCACTATGTTGTAAGAAAGCTGCAGTAGCCAGCCTGAGCAAACATGAACATCACAATAGCTTAAAGTTCACATAACATAAGGCACCAGTTTTAAGACTGCCCGGGTATCCTTATTTAGCAATACAAAGAGTCACACAACTTGGTGCCACACAGCTTTTCCCTCCAGCCAAATCTGATGAAGACTTGATAACATCATCTGCCCTAATCAAAATTCCTGGCCACATGGGAAGGTCTCTGACCCAAATCAAAGAGAGCTTTGGGCCCCAAAGCTATGGGTCCCACAGCTATGGGCTACCAAGGAAAGGTTATAACCAGGCTCCAGTGTAAACCATTTTGTTTCTTTTGACAGTTTTAGATCTTCTAAGGTACATGACACAATATTAATAAAATTTAAATTTCCTGCTAGTTTAATTTTATTTCTTTCCATAAAAGTAACACTTACAATGATCAGAAAGCATGCTTTCTTCTGGCTTTATCATTCACCTTCCCAGGCAAAGATGATCAACAGTAAAACTCCTATCTAAAGCAAAAGTAAGTGGATATGATTATCACTCTGGACAGAAAGTCTGTATTTGCCATTTTTATCAATAATTGAGACAATGATCCAGAAGCTGTATTGGTACAAAAGCACAATATCAGGGATGCCAGAAACAGGATTACAAAAGTTTTCACAAGGTTAAAAATAGGCCAAAATGAATATAGTCAAGTTTACTAGGCTTCAAATGTGAGGTCCTGTATGGTCAGTACATGGAGGTCCGGCAGCCTCTTGATTCAATACAGGCAGTGGTGATGGGTTTGCAAAAATGCACTTTTAGGCTGCATTAACAAAAACACTTTTCTCAAGGCCAGATAAGCCACAGTCCCTCTCAAATTGCTCAGAAAGAGTAGTTTTAGGGCCAGGTGCAGTGGCTCATGCCCGTAATCCCAGCACTTTGGGAGGCCAAAGCAGGCGGATCACTTGAGGTCAGGAGTTCAAGACCAGCCTGGGTAACGTGGCGAAACTCATCTCTACAAGACATACACGAATTAGCTAGGTGTGGGGGTGTCCAACTGTAGACCCAGCTACTTGGGAGGTTGAGGCAGGAGAATTGCTTGAGCCTGGGAGGTTAAGGTTGCAGTGAGACAAGATTGTGCCATTGTACTCCATCCTGGGTGATGGGAGTAAAATCTTGTATCAAAAACGAAACAAAACAAACAAACAAACAAAACAAACGGGGAGGCAGCTCTATATTTTCTCCACTATATTTTAAGGAACTTTCTGATAAACTGGAGAAAGCAAAAAGGGTTGAGATCAGAATGACTGTGGAACTAATACCATGATAAATACTGAGGGGAACGGAGCATAAATAACTTTGAAAAAGACTTTATTATGGCAGATTTGCCAAGTAAACTGATAATTAGAATTATTTTCTATATAGAAATTAGGATACCTTAGAAGAGGTATCTGCATTTGATGGGTGTTAAACTTGAGGATTTTGTTTAAGGTCCTGCTCAACTCTACCAATCTGTAATTACATGGGGAAAAGTGCTACATCCCTCATGAAATGAAATACTAAGAACTGGAGGGAGGCTGCATCAACAGATTTTCTGTATCATGTATTGAAGAGTTAATCTTCTCCAACCAAGCTAGTGAATGAAAGGGTAACTCAAGATGACATAATGATGTCAAAGCATTTTTAATACACCTCGTGGAAGAATCCAAGTATATTTTAAAGAGAAAACACAGCACTTGTTACACCATATATTTCATATTTGACCTGAAACTGGTCACACAGAGGCCTTGATCATAATAAAAAACTTCTCTCTGCTAAATGCAGTATGTACATAGTAATAAATGGAAACACCATTGCCAAACTATTTTTTTAAAACTATCATGGCACAACTTGCTTTTAACATACAAAGAAGTCATATTCCAAAAGACCTTTTGTACACAATTGTGCAGTGTATCTTTGTCTTACTGTTTAGTATCCTAAAAGAAATACTTTTCAAAATATCTACATCCATTTATAAAAACTTGAATGAAGGTAATTTAGCAACAAATCACAACCGGCTAAGAGCTTATGTAAAAGAACGAACTCCAGGGCCAGAAATAAACCCCAAAAGATAAGACATAATGGAAAAACATAAGCGAGAGAAACAAAATTAAGACTATCATCTCAATATCTAGTATGAAGCTTGATAAAGAGTTGATGAATAGAAATAAATGATCCCTACAGACAGACTCAATTAAGTATACAGCATAATTTGTTCATGAAAAAATGAGTATGTAAATCTTCCTAGATCTTTTCAAAATTACTTAAAAATATTCAATAAACATTTTTAAAACGGGGATATTAAGGCATGCTAATAAAATGAAGCTGACCGATTGGTTGCTCTAAGAGAGTAGTGATAAAATAATCTGCTGTATAAACCCTGGATCATATAATGGTATAATGCCCTTGAAAGGTAGTAGAGGGAGGTGGGTTTTAGGCCACTTTTAAATTAATTGCTCTCCACCTGTTTGAATCACACACAATATGTTTGGCTTTAAGAAAATAAAAAGGACCTAGAAAAGAAAAATAGCTTATATATAGTATCCGTATATTACATTTAGAATATACATTTTATATTTAAGAGCCATTTCCTCTTGGACTTTTATCCTACAACAAACAGTTACAACCATAAAAACAGAACCAGCAAAACCCAATCTATAAGATTTGTAGAAAAGTAACAACTTGATATGTTCTAGATGTATAAAGAGGTCTCTTGTCAATTCACTATCTTCCACTTACAAGTATCTCATGTACATCTTAAAAGTCTGAAGGAGTTACTGTAATGTTTCAAACTCAAAACTACTCCCCTGAGCATTGATATAACTTATACTCCCTACAACCAACCAAAATCTCAATTTGCCTCCATTAACGCTCCAAAATAAGTCAAGATTGTAAATATGGTGGGTTCTCAATCAACTGACTTTTTCAACATCAGATGGGTGGCTGGAGGCTTCACAAACTTCAGAGCCCTAACAGAGATCTCCTTTTCTAGCCCTCATAAATAATACAAATCATATCTCTATGATCATTAGAGATGCAAAAAATTGGTATAGGCCTTTTCTCCCCTTCTAACGCATTATCTTAGGCTTGTTTTATTTATTTAACTTTTACATTCCTCATGTGATTTGTGGCCACACAAGATTGATTCTCCAAACTGAACTTCATTCTGTCTGCTCCACAATAAGCAATATTTATTCATTTGCACTCGACAATTATTTATTAAAAATGTACTGTAAGACATTGTGCTAAGAGCAGGTAGTACTAGGAAGTCACAGTTCTATCATCAAGTTTTAAATCTAGTAGGTGAAAGACTCATACGAAAGAATCTACTCTACAAGGCAGCTGTGGGCCACCTGAGTGGCGAAACTAGACCCAAAGGGTGTCAGGAAGAGAGGAGGCACTCAACTGTGGTAAATGGGGAGAATGATAGAGGAGATGGCATTTGAGTTGGGCCTGAGAGGACAGGTTGTCCAGGATTTGGACTGACAATGATTCAAGGGAAGAGAAGAGGGAAGAAGAGAGCCAACTTTAAGCAAAGGAAACACAATGAGACAAATTTGCAAAAGCGAAAAAATGTAATGAGCATTGTGTACCACCAGAAAAGTAGGTGAATAAGGGTACTAACTAGAAGAAGCGGGGCTCATTCATTTGTATTAGAGAAAAGTACAAGATAAATGGTTCATCTGAACAATGGGTAAGGTTTCACAGGGTTTGAAACCATCTCTCCCTCTATGAGTCATCCTGTCTCTGACTGAAGGGTCTCATGTGAAGGAGGAAGGAAGGGGCCAGTCCGGTTTGGTTGTCCAGGTGCAGGACCCAAAATCAGCAACACACAGAGTGACATATGTTGTGACTAAGCAATTCTCACATCAACCCCAAAATGTACCGAAACATTGAACAGACATTTTCCAATGGAGACTTGCCCAAGTTTTCCTTTTAAAACTATTCAGTTTTGAACCTCCAAACTCTGAATTTCAAACTCAACCACCTGCTTTCTCGGAACCTTGACCAGTAACTCAATGTTGAAGCTCCTGGGGGAAAAAAAAAAGCCTCACATAAATTGTACAGTGTGATAAATCCAAGCCTCATAGCATTAGCTGTGTCCTCCTACTTCCCATGGGGACTATTCCATGAAACTTACAGTGTCCTCTTCCTGGTACACAGCTGGGCCACGTTTTCCAGCCTCTTTTGCAGCTAGTTGGTGACATGTGACTGAGTTCTACCACGAAATGTGAGTGAAAGTGATTATGCTAATTTCTAGGCCTAATTTCTATGCTAATTTCTCGGCCTACCCCATAAAAACCTTCCATGTGTAATCTTCCATGTTCTTTCCCCCTCTCTTGATGCGATGCAAACAAGCACAGTAACTCTGGGAGTCACATGTTGAAGATGCAGAAACTATAAGGTAGAAGGAATCTGAATTCCTGAAGGATTTCCAGGAGGAAAATGTCACCTACCATTCATTAACACCCAATTAAGACCTCATGTGAATAAGGAAGAAACTTGTGTTAGAACAGTGAAATGTTGAGAAGTTATCTTTTATTTTTTAATTTTTATTTAAAAAAATATTTTTATTACATATATTTATGGCATATAACGTGATGCTATAGGCTTAATAGAGATAGTAAAAAGGTTACTGTAGTGAAGCAAATTAACATATCCATCATCTCTTACCCTATTTTTGTTTTTGTGTTAAGAGCAGCTAAATTCTCGTTTAGCATGAATCCCATTATTATCTATAGTCTTCATACTGCACATTAGATCTCTATACTTGTTCATACTACTTTGTATCCTCTGACCTACATCTCTCCATTTCCTGCCCACAACCCATATCCCTGGTAACCACTGTTTTATTCTCTCTGCATATTTGAATTTTTTTTGGTTCCACATATTAGTAAGATCATATAATATGTGTCTTTCTTTGGCTTATTTCGCTTAGTACAATGTCCTCCAGGCTTATCCATGTTGTGGCAAATGACAAGCTCTCATTATTTTCTAGGCCTGAATAATATTCATTTGGTATATACCAAATGTGGTATATTTATAGCCACTTCTTTCTCTATGTGTCCATCATCAGACACTTAGGTTGTTTCCATATCTTAGTTATTGTGAATCATGCTGCAGTGAACATGGGAGGGTAGACATCTTTACAAGGTGGTGATTTCATTTCCTTTGGGTATATGCCCAGAAGAGGAATGGCTGGGTCATATATGGTAGTTCTGTTTTTAATTTCTTTAGAAACCTCTATAATGTTTTCCATAATGGCTATGCCCAATCTACATTCCCACCAACAGTGGACAAAAGTCCTCCTCATTTATCATCTTTTGACTTTTTGATAAGAGCCATCCTAACAGTTGTGAGGGGGTAATCACAGTGGTTTTGATTTGCATTTCCCTGATATGATGTTGTGTACCTTTTCATATGCCTGTGGCCATCTTTGTGTCTTCTTTAGAAAAATGTCTATTCAGGCCTTATGCCCATTTTATAA